TATGTGAACTCAGGGACCGGTGGAATCAACGTTAGCTGAGTAGTTAGGGCATCTCTAGCCACGCCCCAACAGGCTCCCCAGGTGACTTTTTCGGCGTTGGCGCTGAAAAAGCGCCCCAGTCGCACCTTCAGGACGTCGAAATCCGCCGGTTTGACCCATTTTTGGGCCCGGCGATCGCAGGCCGAACCCGGCGCACTGGGGGGCGCTCGGGGGCTCCGGCGCAAGGAAAAAGCACGTCTGACCCATACCGTCAGGCGAAAAGTTAAGTCTTTCTTTCAGATTCGCCTCCCACCCCCCGCGCGCTCGGCCGCCAACCGGCTGTACCCCGGCGCCGCCACCGCTAGATAGACATTCTCACCGGAAAAAGAGCAGAGGTTTCGCCAAGGTAGCCTCTCCACCATCGACTGGGCGATTTTTCCGGCGTTTCCGGCCACGGAGGGCGGTGTAGCGGCGGGTGCGCGCCCACCGCGCCCGCAAGGTGTTCGTCGATTTGCCTGCCTCAGCAATGGACTCGGACGATGAGAAAGCGCTCGCCGCGCTGCTGGAGGAGGAAGCCGAGGCCGACGTCCAGGAAGAGGAACATCTCATGGTCCTCGCCGCCCTGCTGGCGAGCAATGAAAAGCCACGGCGAGGTGGCTCGGCGCCGGGGCGGATGAAAGCAAAGAACCAGCATCGTCTCGAAGGCTACTGCATGCTCTACTCCGACAACTTCGCCGATGCTCCACTGCATGGCGACAAAACATTTCGGCGCCGTTATCAGATGAGCCAAAAGCTCTTTCTCAGGATTGTGAATTCCATCCGGGAGTTCGACAGCTACTTCAAGTGCAAGATGGGTTGCACCGGCAAACTTGGATTCACCTCGATCTAGAAGTGCACGACAGCGATGAGGATGCTTGCATACGGAGCTCCCGGTGATTCACTCGACGACTATGGGCGCATGGCCGAGTCCACCACCATTGAGTGTTTCTACAAGTTTTGTCGGGCAGTGGTGGCAGTGTTTGGACCGCAATACTTGCGAACACCCAATGCGGAAGGCACTGCTCGGATCCTAGCATAGAATGCAGCAAGGGAATTTCCTGGAATGCTTGGAAGCACCGACTGCATGCATTCGAAATGGAAGAACTGCCCATTTTCTTGGCAGGGGATGTACAAAGGCGCCAAAGGCGGTTGCAGTGTGGTACTTTGGGCGGTGGCCACACAGGACCTCTGGATTTGGCACTCTTTCTTTGGTATGCCAGGAACTCACAATGACATTAACGTGTTGCAGTGCTCCCCTGTCTTTGCCAAGCTTGTTGAAGGTCATTCTCCTCCGGTGAACTTCGAGGTCAACGGGCGGCACTACAACAAGGGGTACTACCTAGCTGATGGCATCTATCCGAGATGGTCTACATTTGTGAAGACTATCTCAAACGCTGTGCCAGGAGGCAAGAAGTCCCACTTTGCCAAGGTGTAGGAGGCTTGCAGGAAGGATGTCGAGCGGGCATTTGGTGTGCTCCAATCTCGATTTGTTGTTGTCCGGTACCCTGCTCAGACCTGGTCGAAAGATCAAATGTGGGAGATCATGACTTGTTGTGTCATCTTGCATAACATGATCATCGAGAGCGAGCAGGAAGAGCCAGTGTTTGACACTAACCATACTACAGGCAGGGTCCTCTAGCCGAAGTTGATCACCAGCTACCGGCAACCTGGACTGTCAGGAGATCCGAGACCCACAGGTGCATCATCAACTGCAGCAGGATCTGGTGGAGCACCGATGAAGGATCAAGGGTGACGCCTAGCTCGACGTGTGATGAAATATGGATTTTTATTTGTTGAACTATATAATTTGTATTGAACTAATTGTTGTTGCACTATTTTGTTGAACTATTTGATTTTCTGTGATGAACTATGTGATAAAAGTATTTATGTTCAGAATTCAACGCCGAACCACGACAAACCACGCTGAATATGGGCCGATTCTCGCCCATATGAAGCTTTTATTCGTCAAAAGTGGGCCGAAAACTGGGGCCAATATGGGTGTGAGGGCGACGGCTGAATGTCCAACCGCCTCAGTGCCGATTGTACCGCCGGCTCGTCCAAGCGGCGATTTTTATGTCTTCTGGGGGGCCAACGGCTGCAGATGCTCTTAGCTACACGGTTTTGCCATTGAGCATGTGAACTGAGGGGAGTCCGGAGAGCTTAATTAGGAGATTTGGCGACGGTGGAAGATTTAATTTGCCCACCGGCCGGCACGCGGAGGCAGTGCTCGACGGCGACGTCAACAATAGGCCGCACAGACGGGAGCTAGCTGGAAGCCAAAAAAAGACAACGTTGCCGTCGTCGCCCTCTCCACGTATGTATCCATGCATACACAAACCAAAACAAAGGCAAACAAGCCAAATAAGCAATGATGTGATTGTGCGGGCATGCATGTATGTATGTATGTATTGGCCCCTCGAAAATCATAAGGGCATTACTAAAAGAAAATTACTCAAAAAAAATCGTAGGGGCAATTTATAAGCTAAATTAGTTTCAGAAAATATTCGCTGTCCAAGATAAGGATATGCTGGATGATCTTCGATGATACACTGTGTGTACATCTATTCTTTTTTTTTAAATGGCACACGGCATCTTTGGAAATGAATGACAGATGGCTTCGAGCGGAGCAAAAGATGCCCACTTGATTAAGAAAGCATGCAAGATATCGAATTATCTGGTGGCTGGTGGAGGAAGGTACGTCCCTACCAACTACTCCCTTCGTCTTATAATATAATAGCATTTTAGACACGATTAAGTACGCACCGACGTCGAGTATGTGTCAACAATATGTCTTATTCAGGGCGCAGAAACTATGATGACGCTCATAACACCACGGTATGTTCTCGTCGTGAAGGATCTCATATGTGATGCGACATATTTAGATGGTTTCAGTGAAATTATCCATATAATCACCTGAAATGCGTGGTAATCGCAGCGTGAGATGACTGGAACCTAACGGTCAACTCTAACAGCCACTTGTAGTTTGTTACATGCGAGAATGGTTCGAATCGTCAATCAACAACACGGCAATGCTCAAATCCTTGAAAAATACAAACAATTATGGATCAGAATAATTTTCCATTTTTCACAGGATGCCGATCGTCCAACCCAGAAGATAACTGAATTTCAAGCACATATCTGTACATTCATATTTATGCGTAGCCTTTCTTTTTTTTTTTTGCGGGGGATATTTATGCATAGCCAGTCGACTATCCACTTGCTTGTGTCTGCCTCTAACCAAGATCACCATCCTATCCATCCACGAAAGTCTAGCCAAATCTTTGGCCTCGAACCCGACATAAACACGTTTGTGGACCGGAATTTATCTCTATTTCCACATGCATAATACATATCTGTTCTAAACCATGTCTGTTCTAAACACGTCTTGTACTAACTCACACTCAAGATATCCACGCCATCCATCCATCATCCAGTAGCCATCTGATGGCGCCAAATACCGTCCATACACGTCTCCATACAACGACTAACTCCAAATAAGAAATGATGTGGTGTGTGTGATATGATTGTACGGGCATATGTATGTGTTGGCCCCTGAAAATTTGTAGGGACGACTTGTAAGCTAAAATAGTTTCAGAGAAGATACATTATCCAGGATACACTATCACGTGGAGTAGACTAACAGAAAGATTGTCAGGTATATATGGCAAATGATATCTTCAAGAACGAATGACAGATGGCTTGGAGCATGGGGAAGATGGCCATGGAAGAAACCAACATATTGAATTACTCGATGGAGGAAGCTAGTACCAACTGGCATATATTTTTTGTGGTTCTTTCTAGGATGATTGTCCGGTACCATCAAGTGGTTACGTATATTTGCACAAGACAATCGCAACCAACCCTAGCTACAAACTATCAATAGTACCACGTACGTACCATATTAGTGCATCTGCTTCATGGCATTTTAGACGTTTCGGTAACATTGACCTATTCCATATGGTTTCGGTGAAATCATTCACCAAAATAGGTGACACTATGTTTATATGATAAAGCACAAGGCGCAATAATCATATATTGTCAAGTCTCGCGGAAACGACGACGGTTGGAGTTGTCAATCCACATCATGATAACATTCAGAACCTGAAATGTGAATATCTCTGATCCAGAATAATTCTCTATTTATTTTGGCATGACACCGGGCAGTGGCGGAGCTTCAGCAAGGCTACATGGGCCATGGCCCGCCCAGCTTTGCACCACCTCCTCCTATTATAGCCGGCCCATGGGCCGGGGAAAAACCAATTTCATGCAATTTAGCCTACCCAGCCCGCCCAGGAATTTGCTGCAAGCTCCGCCACTGACACCGGGGCCGTTCGGTCTAGAACACGACTGAATTTCCAAACACACATCCACGTATTACCGCATTTTCTCTTAGCCGCTTCTAATCGAGATCGCCGTCCTATCCGTTAACAAAAATCCAGTCAAATAAGATATCCGATCTCGAACCTGACATAAAAACGCAGAATAATTCTCCATTTCAACACGACGTTGATGTTCTTTCTGAACTCATGAAAACTGAATTTTCAACACATCTGCATTTATGTATGCAGCCGTCTTGTGCTCCTTCACTCAAGGTCGCCATGATCCATCCACACATATCCGGTCCACGAGCGCCAGCCGCCTCCGGCCGGGCCCGCCCGCAGCGTCACGGTGCACCGTGGACCGCGCCTTCGTGCGGAGCCGGGGCCCTCCCCCCAATCTCCTCCACCAACCTCTCTCCTGTATAAAGCCTCGCGGCCCCCGCCTGCCTCCTCCCACCAGTTCCAGGACAACCAGCAGCGGCCGCCACTTCGTCCAGCTCCAGCTCCGGGAGGATCACTTGGCTGTCGAATCGGTAATACCACGGTGAAATTCGCCTCTTTTCCGTCGCCCTTCCGTTAGATTCGTTGGTGGTTTCGATTGATGTGTCCGTGCGCCGGAGGATAAAACAGAGTTCTTGATTTGTGTAGCTCGTCGACGGCGGGATGGGGGAGGCGTCATCTCCGGCGATCGCCAAGGATGTCACCGAGGTGAGCTGATTTGTCTGCCTCGATGCGTCGGTGTTTGGGGATGGCCGGCCGGCCGGATTTGGTTTGGCGTGCTGATTTATTCTCGGTGTTGCCATGTAGCTGATCGGGAACACGCCGTTGGTGTACCTCAACAAGGTGACCGACGGGTGCGTGGGGCGCGTCGCCGCCAAGCTCGAGTCCATGGAGCCCTGCTCCAGCGTCAAGGACAGGTCAGCTACCTGCCCCCTCTGTTTTTCCTAGATCCCCATCCATGCTCTGAGGACAGAGGCCCTGGTTTGCTCTCTAGATTTGAGCTGAGGATTCGTTACTTGTTCTTGTGCAGGATTGGATACAGCATGATCACCGACGCGGAGGAGAAGGGGTTCATCGTCCCAGGCAAGGTGGGTAACATCGACCCCTCCCCCTACCACTCTTTTGGTGTGTTTCCCCTGTTTTGTTGTACTCATGCAATTTTACAACAGTTTGGCGTTACCAACGATGATTTGGGCTCCCTGGAATAGAAGTACTTATTACCTGTGATTTTGGTAGTACTGTATGTATTTATTAGCTGTGACCTGACTGGCTTCGGTTCAGGAGAAAACAGAGGTCAAGGGAATTTAGCATCTAGTCTCTTCTAATTGGGTTAACTAGTCAGGTCAAGACGTATACATAAGAAATGAAGGAATCGACTCACTCGGCGCTAAGAATTTTTCGTTCTTCTTCTCAGTGTTGCCATACATCTCTATTGGAACTAGAGTTACATATCTGGCACTATGAATTCTATGGTTCAGGGATATGGCATTGATTTGCAGTACTATTCTATTCATTTCCTCCTGCACCAGCTCCTAGTTGTTTGACTTGCACAGCTGCTTTGCGTTGGCATTTAGGTCAACCCTTCACCAACATATAGGTTCAGCTTTCACCTGAACCAAGCAGTAGTAATTTGGAGCCTCTCTGTTTAATGCTTCACGATCCCTTTCATGGATGATGATATGATATGCTGCCCCCTATTTGGTGCTAGGGATTTTTCGTGTTCCGTTTCAGGGTTGCCAGTTGACCATTTCTACTAGAGTTGTATATATTCCACGGTGTCTGGAATCTATGGTTCATTTATGTAGCCTTGATTTGCACAGTATTATTCGTTTTCTCCTGCACCTGCACCTAGTTGTTTGACTTGTCCAGCTGCTCCGCGTAAGCATTTACGTCAACCCTTCACCAACAACACCTTACACCTGAACTAAGTATATTAATCTAGAGCCTCTCTATTTAAATACTTACCACGCCTTCCATGGATCATGATATGCTGCCCCTTATTTGCAATCTTAAAAATAATACTTGTGCACCTGGCCGTTTGATTCATGCTGACAAGTTGTTTTAAGCAAGCACTTTCTGCAAACTTTTTGTAAAGCTACGTTTACTAAAAAATTCAGATTGCTAGGATCTTGGTTTGCTGATATTTTGCTTTCCATGTGAATGGTTTTCCAGAGTGTGCTGATTGAGCCAACCAGTGGCAACACAGGCATTGGGCTGGCCTTCATGGCTGCTGCGAAGGGTTACAGACTTGTACTCACAATGCCCGCCTCCATGAGTATGGAGAGGAGAATCATCTTGAAGGCTTTTGGTGCTGAGCTGATCCTCACCGACCCACTCTTGGGAATGAAAGGAGCTGTCCAAAAGGCAGAAGAGCTGGCAGCAAAGACACCCAACTCATACATCCTTCAGCAGTTTGAGAATGCTGCCAACCCAAAGGTGTGGCATAATTTATCATTTTTGTTTGGACAACATCTTTATTCCCATGTTTGATGTTTGCTTCCGAGCTCCTAGTTCTTAGGTTTAAATATTTTGTGCAGATTCATTATGAGACAACTGGGCCTGAAATCTGGAAAGGCACAGGAGGAAAGATCGATGGCCTTGTTTCTGGCATCGGGACAGGTGGTACCATTACTGGAACTGGAAAATACCTCCAAGAGCAAAATCCTAACATCAAGGTAAGCACTACAAATCGTTATGCACACTACAATGTTAGCTGCCAACGTTGACCAACTAACATTTCTTCCTGTATGAGAAATAGTATCTGATTTTATTGTGTTTTCTCATGTAAGCTCTACGGTGTGGAGCCTACCGAGAGTGCTATCTTAAATGGTGGAAAGCCTGGTAATGTTTCCTTCTGTATCACATTCCATTCATTCTAAATACATTCACTCATTAAATTCATCTCGTAATATCCATTAACAGAAATGGTCAAGTTCCCCCAACCACAACCACTAGCATCTAAAAAAATTGAGTTTCTCTTTGCATTGCCTTTGACTTGTCATCTGAAATACCTTGTCAATATTATTGTAATATAAATAAGAATACTCAGATGGTTAACTATTTCCAATATGGCCTCATGAGGCGCCTTTTTCTGGAGGTCCGTAATGTGAGAAAGATGTCCGTTAGGAAGAAACAACTTTGTACAGCATTTTGCACCAAAAATGTTCTGCTTTGATTCTTGACACTGCTTGTTCTGTACCAACAAGATTCAGTTATTGTGAGCAGGACCACACAAGATCCAAGGAATTGGAGCTGGTTTTATCCCTGGTGTCTTGGATGTTGACATCATTGATGAAACCATACAGGTGATTTTTCTTCTTGCACTAAGTAGAGTTGTAGAGAAGGCACTATATAAGAAAATTTCCGCCACATATCTTTTTGCTTAGTTGTTCCTAATTTTTCAATCCTCCCGCGAGAATAGAAGTTTGCTGGATATTTCCTGTTTATCTTTCCATATGTCTGCATCTTTTACCCTGGTGTAACCTTTGGTCCGTTCAAATTGTATGCCAGGTTTCAAGTGATGAGTCCATTGAGATGGCAAAGTCTCTGGCATTGAAAGAAGGATTGCTGGTGGGGTTTCTTTCGAACATTTATCTATTACTCCCTCTGTCCCAAAATAAGTGCCTCAACTTCGTACTAACTTTAGTACAAAGTTGTACTGAGCTTGAGACACTTATTTTGGGACGAAGGGAGTATTAAGCAGTATCGTGCACACATTTTTTTTATTCAATCTGTCTGTATGGGTCAATCAGAACCAAGTGTTTGCATCAGCCATTGACTATCTAAATAATTGTAGGTTGGAATCTCTTCTGGTGCTGCTGCAGCAGCTGCAATCAAGGTTGCTCAGAGGCCTGAAAATGCAGGGAAACTCTTTGTTGTAAGTGGCACATTCCCTCCTGGTAGTTTCTAGCATGCCTCTTTCCCCTGAAAATTCATCTGATCTACCTAATAAGCAAAACACAAATGAATTGATCTAATGAACTACAGATTTATTTACTCTTGAATACCCTATAGAGAGATATCTGTACTTGTCAACTCTCATACGGCAAACTAACCTATTCCACCAAGTGAAGAGAGGCTGCCTTTTAGCAGCAATCTAGTACATGTTGCATCCATATGCTGACATTTCACACCTGTGTAGGTTGTATTCCCAAGCTTCGGAGAGCGCTACCTTTCGTCGGTGCTCTTCCACTCCATCAAGAAGGAGGCCGAGAGCATGGTGGTCGAGTGACTCTCGGGACTCCTCAAGCGCGCGAAGCTGTTCTCCAAAGCCAAATCCCTACATTCGTAGGAGCCCTCCTACAGAAATAAAAGCTTTGGCGTCCCTGCTAGTGTTGGTCTGACATCAAGTCCTGTCAAGTTTTAATCCCACTTTGTTTAGCAATGGGGAATACTTTTGTGTTGGCCTTGTGGTGTTTAGCGATTTGAATTACCTCTTGCATGCCCTGTATATTGAACTCCTCTGTGGTCCATATGTCAGCCAGTGTGAAATGAAACATCATGGTGCCATACATGTCTGAATCTTTGTTTTCCTTTTCTATAACGGGGCTGACAATTACATAGTCGCTTGGAAAAAGAAACTGGTTTGGTCGAATCAATCTGGACCGTCGGATTGAAAGCGTCGGACCGTCAAAATGAATCTTGGGCTATGTACAATCTGAGCCGCAGTAAGTCTAACAGGCTTCCACCCACATGACTCAACCTGCTTCGACTATGCGGGCCCTAAATCGGGCTCTCCAGCGACACTGCGGTGTGCCCCGTCTTATTTATCCTCGGGGAACCCTAAAAAAAATATCCTCGGGGCTTTGCGTGGGACTCGACTAAATCGGCAAAAAAAAGGCGCTTAAAACTGTGTTTTTTAAACAGCGCTTAAAAAAGTTACTCCCTCCCTCTGTTCATTTTCGTAAGACGTTTTAGACACCTGAAATTGAACTGTTTTAGGTGTTATCTTAAATGTCTAAAACGTTCACTTTTGTAAGACGTTTTAGACAGTAGAAATTGAACTGTTTTAGGTGTTATGTTACATTGAACTGTTTTAGGTGTTATGTTACATTGCAACAAACATGACATAGCAATGCAAATAGGAGAGGTCATACCAAGTCACCCATGCCTAGGCCACTCACATGACGGGCTTCAACGCTCTCAAGCGCGGCACAATACTTGTTGCATTCTTGTTGAATGAACCCACATCTCCTTTGGATTGAGTTGATGCCACGGGTGCTCGCAAACTTTTAGGGCGGCAACTTCCTCCGTTAATGAAAGGTCGTATGAACTCTCCAAAAAACGGATCCTTTTTGCTCGGCACCGGTCTTGGGATCTTGGCCTATCTCCATCCAACTCTCGCAAATCAACATGTCCTCTACTTTGGTGTATGATCCCGTGCGAATGCTTTGCTTCCTCCTTTGTGCCTCGGCTCTTTGGGTGAGCTCGTCGATAAATAATGGCTCCTCCGCAATGTAGACCTCTTCTTCCTCATCTTCGCAATACATGTCCTCATCTTCATGCCATGAGTTGCCATGGTTGTCGGCCGCTTCTTCTTCATGGACACCGTAGTGGTCGGAACCATCTTGGTCACGACCGTCTTGGCTTTGGGTCTCATCTGGATCGAAGCATTGGCCTTGGCCGTCGGGGTGGAAGACCTAGCCACGGCCTTCGTAGATGACTTTCTCCATGAACGCGTTGTAGTCAGGGTCGTCGGCCGCCAGCGTCAGAATTGGCATTTCGTTGAATAGGTTGCGGGGGTCAGGAAGGTTGGTCGTAGGAATCGACCGACTCTGCTTCCTTTGCATCCCATCGGTCGACTGGCCTGCGCCGTTGTACCCAGGCGTGACGTTGAGGCCGATGACGGTCGGGTTGGCAGGGGTGGCCGACGCGATCACGCTGTCGTCCAGCGACATGGAGAACCGGGTCTGAGCATGCTGATGTGACGCATGAAAACCGGGCATCTCCAGTGTTATAGAGGAGCCCAGCAGCGAAGGGCGAACGACCGACGAGTTTGTGCTCGCCGCGGCCATGGCGGCAGAGGAGAGAATGGTCGGCCCAGATCAGCACAACCCTAGCATGAAGAGGGCATGCGTCGTCGTTGCCTGCGTGGCCTTGGCGAGGATGGCCTCGTTCTGGTCGACGACGGCCTTGTGCTGCATGGCGTGCGGCATAGTCGGCAACAGCTTTCTTCTTCGCCGCAACGGTCTGCTGGGCCCTCTTGGCTGATTCGATGTCAAGCCGCGCGGCCTCAGCCGGCGTGAGCTCCGACCGCTCTTTCTTCCTCTTCTTCGTCGCGGGGCGAGAGGTAGTGGTGGTCTAGTCGGCAGGTTTCTTCGTGGCGCCGGCCATGGAGGAGGGAGGGGAGGGGGTGCGTGGAGGATTTTGGGAAAAGGAGGGAAAGTGGGCGTGTTGTGTCCCCGATGGGTGGGCCAGGGGAGGACAAGGGCGCACGTCCGGCCCGTCTGTGCGCTGTCCGTTTCGACGTAAACACGGCCCAAATTTGGACCGGAAATGCGTCGGCGGCGAATGAAAAACGGACATTTGTTCGTTTGCTCCCGCGGCCGCGATTTTTGTCAGTTTACCCTCAAACGGACGCGGCCGGACCAAATATTTGTGGTCGTGTGTTGAAGTTGGCCTTTGGTAGTAGTGCTGAATCATTGATGCTCCTAGCTTGCAGCTGGCTGCTAGGTTTTACAGGACAGAAAGGGTGCACATGTAATGCAGCTCGGCTAGCCTCTTTCTGGTCACTGTACTGGAGCACACACGATGCATTGATTTTTAGGTACCAGTAGTACACTAGTGCCCCTCCACATGTACCACGAGAGGCTTGACCAGCTTCTCTATGCTGGGAGACAGCTATGAAAAATATTGATGGTCATCTGAATCTGTGATGTGCATATGCATGGTGCAGTAAAGAGATGGCCCTGAGAGATTGCAGGGAACATCTACTAATCTGCAAACAGATGTTGGAACTTATGTGGGACTTGAAGATTGCAGAAACAAGAAGAAAATATCTATCTCATTTGCACACCAGCAAAAGCACACCCCCAGCCCTCACAGGAAAATTTGATAAATCCAATGTAAACAACTCTGAGCATCAGCATACACAACACATGGACTCCAGTAACCTGTGTGATCACTCATGCTGGGTAGAGACTACTTCTCTAGCAAATCCAACAACTAAACTAAACTAAACTCTGTTGCAGCCTAGAAAAAAGTCAGCAATGCAAAACAGCAATGCAGCAGGGCTGCTCAACTCCAGCCCTGCAAACATAACCTGATCCAGTGTTTTTAGATGCATGTCAATGCTGTGTGTGATCATGCATGCTGGGTAGAGAGCACTTCTCTTGCAAATCCAACAACTAAACTAAACTAAACTCTGTTCCAGCCTAGGAAAAGGTCAGCAGTGCCAAGATCACATGATGCAAAACAACAATGCAACAGGGCTGTGTTCAACTTCAGCCCTGCAAACAAAACTCGGAACGGGGACAGGAAAACATAGCATAACATCGCGATATAATGGCGGGCATAATATTGTATCAACCAACCACAAGTGACGACGAATCCAGGACAAGAGAAATGGTTCTCTCAAGCGAAAGACTGACTGCTAGAGCTAACAAGGAGTTTCAACTGAGACCTAATCGGATTTTCGCGTTCGATTCTTTCCTCCTGACTGATGATCTACATGACTACGGCCCAATGGCCTCTAAGACCCGATGCGACAGACTCAGGAGATGCTCCTGACCACCGGCAGAAGCTCACATATCCGAGTGTGAGTACTCATGCTCGTGCTCGTTCTCGACACTCTTCCTCATCTGCATCACCTTCTTGTGGGAATTGGAGTGCATGAAGCTCACGAAGGTTGGGCTGTTGGCGGGCCTGTACTCCGGCAGCAGCCTGCCGGACTTGTACCTCACGCCGCACGCGTTGCATAGAGTCTTGGGCCCTAGAGGGCCGCTCCTCCACTGTGGCGTCGTGTGGGACAGGCAATGGGTGCACCGCTTCACTGGCTCCTCCAGTGGGACCTCCTCGTTCACATATGTCTTCTTGGTCCTCCTCTTGCCCTGCTCATCTACAAATGAAGTCTTCTTGATCCTCCTCTTCTCCTGCGGAGGCTCCTCATCATCTCCATAATATGTGGTCTTCTTGATCTTCCTCTTATCCTGCCCCCTTCCATGATCTTGTTCTTCGTCAACTTGTTGGCCGCAGCGCTCCAGTTTGATGAACCCGTTCCCTGCCTTGAGCCTCAGGCTGCACGTGTTGCACAATAATGCCCCTGATGGACCACCCTGCCACTGCTGTGGTGTTTGGTTGGAGTTGGACAAACAAATGCTACACCTCATCACCGCCTGCTCTTGCTTGAACTGCACAGTGTAGGGCTTATATTCTTCCTCGTGTTCCTGCTCCAGTTTTTGGACAAGTTCTTGGTCCTTGTCTTTCTTGGGGAGGATGAGCTCACTCTCTGCTAGCCAATGCTTCTGATCAAGTAGTAGTGGTGGCTCAACAATCAGGAAATATTCTTCATCACTATCTCTTATAACAGAGGCCAGGCTTCTCTTCTTTCTTCTGGGATTGGAAGATGAAGGATGTGGCAGGTTTGGGTTTACAGATGCTTGTTCTTCGGAGACAGGGTAGGATGCAGGGTTAGTCAAGCAGTCCTCTAAATAGATGGAGAGCCACTCTGTGCTGCTGTCTTCACTTTCCTGCAAATCAAAAAGAGTAGCATGGCACGTTTAGACAAAATGGCCAAATTGATTGTCTAAGAATATATCACTAAATGGAATTACACAACTGCAAGGAAATCTACTTTTCATGGAGGTCCTGTTCTATGTTTTTACCAAGAAGCAAGCATGTGAGGATGAATAAAATGAATGGAATGCATAGGGAAGCCTTAATCGACTAGGGACTGTCATTGGCAATATGGTTCCCAAACAAAGAGTATTAGAAGTATGGAGTAACAAAATTTCCAAACAGATTACTGAATAAAACTACTATCGAAGAACAAACAGTCCTACAGTCAGCACCCTTTACTTTTTGAACTAATTCAAGTCAACACCATCAATCAATAGAAAATTTGCTTTGGGGGCATTCGAATTGGCAAGTGATACTGGAGTTAAGATTCCAACGGAAAATTAAGTTACTGGAACGAAACTAAAAGTCATGCTTTTACAATGCAATTAAACACCGTGGAGCAGAAACCACCATGGCAGTTTCTCACAACAGGATGCAATTAAACAGTTCAGTAGT